ATGGGCTCCATGGCATAGCTATCTGGGGTATCACCGCTCAAACAAGGCAAGTACCGAATGACCCGGCTTTCGTGTCTTTGCAGGGGAAAATCAAGCGTTTCAACATGGGGTCATAGTCTAAAGGCAGCAGGCGGGCAACCAGGCTCCTCCAATGCATAGGCGAGATTGGTCTCGTCACATTAATATACTGAAACATTAAACAACCATAGTATACTCAATAATCAACACGGATCTAACACATGTCAACCAGATAAGCATCCCATAAATATACTGAAATACCAAACCCTTATAATTACACTGAGAAAATGACAAACCAGAATATTAAAATTTTCCAGAGTATAGGGAGGGAAACAGGGAGGGAAAATATTCGCCTCCTGTCATTATTAAAATTAAGATTATAGGTACACTACGTTAGCATAATCTACAATTTTATCACATGACAGGAGGCTTCATATTTTGTATTTTTAAAGCTGTGGTATGAGCGAGAAGGATGCGTGTGTGGTTGACGAAAATAAATATACGGAAGTAGTCTATCCGTGTCCAATTCATCGCTGTAAAATATAGTGGCCCTCTCGTGAAGGCCTGAGAAGCAGCCGCGACTTGTACCGAATGAGTACCCAAAACACGTCTCCACCCCGGCTAGCGAAAACAACCAATGAACCCATCTAGACAGAGTGTTCATGGGAACTGGCTTGTATGGTTGGTATAAGACCAGCAAATGTCCTGAATGTGACAAAGTGTTGTCGTGATCTCCATGTAACGAAGTACTGCTTTAACTGCACAAAGACTGGGAAACCGCCGGGAACAGGGTAAGATACGGACGCGGATAAGATTTAGTTCTATGAGACACCATAGAAATCATTCCTTCCAGTGATACCAAAAGGACCGTCTACGTCGAACTCCAGTACATCTGATACCTGACGAAAAGACCTAAAAGTAACATAACTATGGCTGATGGCTGACGGAGGGATAGGTCCGTGTTATTTGACTAGTTCCAAAAGAACCAAATCAGAATCCCACAACAGTGATAATTTGATGCATGGTTCTGGACAGTTTGATACCCCACAGAAAGCGGCATATCAAAGGCTCCTGATCGACCGGAGTGTCGTGAATCGTACTATGCGTCATCGAAATCGCAGAACGTATCCCGTTAATGGAACGGTCCAATCAGCCCATAGCGAAAAGGTATGATAAAGATTCAGCATCGAAGAGATAGAGGTAATAAAGGAAACGCAGTCCCTTCCCATACACCAGTGACTCCAGGTGTTCCATGCGTATGTTATTTCGGGGAATATCTGGTGTCCATAATAGGTCTCTAGTTGGTTGCGATAGTCCCTTGACATACCAGTCTCCCCTGAAAGACACCAATCCACCAACTCCAGACGCTCCTGCATTATCGATGGATGATGTTCTCCTTTTGGATCTGCCCGAAGGCAAGTTAAAACTGAAGCAGCAGAGGAAGATCCCGATTAAGGACAACCATTCTGGGTGCCATGCTTGACTCCTTTACCACGGTAATGAGTACTATCGAAGTCTTCGCTATTCTGATCCCAATTTCATAGGTGTGTCCGGATCTCAGGCAGTGAGCTTTCAGCCGCTGTCTGGCCCGGTAGTGAAGCGGTCCTGGGAAATAGTCAAAGGGTTATGGTGCCTTTCCGCCGTACCCATCAAATTTCCTTATGAATCATCGCTATCAATGATGTGGGAAGGTGTAATCCGCCCAAGGTGAAATCTATTTCAAAGTAGAGGAACTGAATCATTCGGAACTGGGATCGAACCGACTCCTCTCTGTTTACTATGAATCCCAACAATTCCCAAAACTGTAAATATAAATCTCGTTTGTAAACGTAGTCAGGAATTGGATTTGCAAAACATCAGTAAGTCGTCTAGGTATGCGACAGTGAATACCCTTTGCTCTTCAGTGCACCGTGACCGGCTTCAGAAACTTCATGAGGCACCATGTGAACCAGTAGGTAAGTGCCCTTCAAATCCAACCTTGCAAATCCCTTTCGAGGAGTAGATCCCCTAAGAGATGGATACCTTCCTTCTTGAGTCGTCGGTACGCCCCAAAACCATTGGGTTGGCGAAGGTTGATGACTGGGCGATAGTCTCCTGTCTTCTTCCTTACTACCAAACCGTTGCTGAGATAAATGGTTCTCCAAACAATAGTCCGTCCGCCTGAGGTCCTCGCTCTTTCGTCCCTAACTTCAATAGTTTGAAATCCATCTTTAATCGGGCTACTTTGCGCCATTCTGTGCACCTGTCTGCCTTGCGTTCCCCAACCTACATATTGCCCTTTGCACCCATTCCCTCACATCGTGAGCTTCTAGAGGTGAGTCTTGGGTGGGGTCAGGTCCGCAAAGTATAGAATTTTTTCCCGGGGCTGATCATGTCAAGTATTTCATCCTAACTCGTTTTGAGTCCTTCTCCTACACTTCTACATGGACCCGGCCTGATCGGGACATAAATATCACCACAGTGATACCAAGCTCCATGGTGAGGACTATCTTGTTCAGTAATAGAGGGCGTGGGCATTCCACCCTGAGCTTGTCTCGGATTTCTTTTCCCATAGGCCTCCTGAGAAGTGGGCAAAGTGTGCCCGGTGCTCCAGTAAACCCCATTCGGATGACCCTGGGTGTCGGATGGTGCATGAGTCAAAACAAGTGTGTCCAGTGTGCCAAAGAAAAACCTTTCTTGCTAGGCGGGTCTTGTCACTTTACCTCTTCAGATGGAGACTCTTCTGTTCTCTATTCTTTCATGATCTCCAGCGAAGGGGGAGGGATGAAGTCCTCGTCCCCTGATGGTGGTGCCTGAGATGATTAATGGACAGGACTTTCTGAGAGATGGCTCCGCTAAGTCGGGGTGTTCCCTTTCCCCTTTGGAGAAGCCGCGTTGGAGCCCTTCTAGTGGTGTTTAGATGATCAAGTGTCCGACCTAACGTTGTCGGTATCTCTAGCTTCCATTGGTGTTGGTGCCGTTGCACCCGCCCTGTCGGATGGGTTGTTAGCCAGCATATTGGAGAGGACATCTTCCCCCGAAGCTGCCATGGCGGCCTTAATCCTCACCTGAAAATCAGTCGGGGATATTGAGGGAAGTCCGGCATGTTGGATCACATCCTTTCGGTCTGTAGGAGACAGGATCGTACAACAGTACACTTATTGCCACTCAGTGGGCATCCACGTATAACTGGGGTCACCCAGAATTTCAATCAATCAGTACCACTTTCACAGGATCCGGGGAGTGGTCTGAGAATGAGGACACCCACAGTAAGACCCGGATGAGCGGTCTGCAATGTCGGGACGTAGCCCGAGTATGGGAGACGTGAAAGCCTCAATATGTATAATCCAAGGAGGTCATCCTTATATGGCCTAGAATTGTGGAGTTTTGGCAGCACTGTGAGTTCTCCTTCTTGGTTAAGGGAAGGGCATACGGATCCCCCAGTTGAAGCATAGAGGTGCCGGAATGTATCTAGTGCGCCCTGGTCTGTGCATACAATGACCGAGCATACTCTGAAGGTAGAAGCCCTAGAAAGGGCACGGGGGTCACCCCGTCCGGCAGGGGGTCACCCCTTTGTACATATGCCACCAGAGTAAGACTCGCTTGGGGAACACTCAGCGTAGGGGGGTGACCCTTGTATGTATGTCTCTTATGGCATGTTGGGACACTCTTTCAGTCTGTGGGGTACCGAACAGGTGTCAGGTATGGTAGTACACTTATTGCCACTTAGTGGGCCTCCACGTACGACTGGGGGTCACTCAGAATTGTTTCAATCAGTACCACTTAGAGATTTCCTGGGAGTGGTCTGAGGAAGGGGTCACCCTCAATAAGACCGGGATGAGCGGTCAGTAATGTCGGGACGTAGCCCGTGTATGGGGAGGTATGGTAGCCTCCAAATTATCCAAGGGGTCACCCTTATGGGATATAGTACTGTGGAGAATTGGCAGCACCGTAAGCTCTCCTTCCTGGCTCTGTCGATATACATGTATCCAGTGTGTCCCAGTCTGTGCATACAGTAACAGATCGTAGTCCGTGGATATGAGCCCGTCCTAGGGGGTGGGGGTTCCCCCCAGTATATATATGTCACTAGTACAAGAATAAGATTCGCTTGGGGGTCACCCAGCATAAGGGGGGGGGTCACCCCTGTACCACAATGTCACTTTGGAGAGGTGTCTGCCACGCTTGGGGGTCACCCAGCATAAGGGGGGTCACCCCTGTTAATCACTCTATTATGTGCCTCCACTACTGTGTCCTGGGAGGTGTATCCCTGTGGGGAAGGAGTGTATCCAGTGGTTGTGAGGTCCAGTGGGAGTAGGGAGCTGAGTAAGTTATCAGCTCTATTTAATTTCCCTGCCAGCAGATAGAGTAATGCATCCACTATATGCCCACAGCAGGGAACAGTCCATTCATAATCCTCCAGACGTACAAGACGTAAACTGTTATTCAACATATCAATTGTATTGAACAGAATAGAGCAAACTGCCAGCAGACATGAGTACTGCATTCACTATATGCACACAGCAGGGATCAGTCCTACATATTCATGCAGAGTTACATATACAACTTTTATTTCACATGCCAATGAAATATGCCAGAATAGAGCTCAGCAGTGAACAGTCCATTCATAATCTTCCAGAAAAGGTACATATAAAACCTTTATTCCACATGCCCATGATATGTATTAGTATTGAGCTCAAAAGTACTTGTAAAACTTTTATTTCGCAGGAAAAAATATTTTAAACAGTACAAATCTAGCTGCCAGTTCATGGGAATCATGAACTGGCTAAACGACATGGCTGACGTGAATCTCACGAGTGCTGCGAGATTCAAGATGGCCACCGATCGCGCGCAAAAATGCCATGTGGCCCGCGATCGAGGATACGAGGTCCCCCCCGACACCCCCAACCCCCAGAGACCTGCCCTGAAGTCCCAGCACCAATGAATAAAAAACCGTGCTTGCGATAAAAAAACACAATCTGTGCGAGACCAGAGTAAAGCATAGGAAAGGTGCCAGCAACAGAAAACCAAACAGGCTAATAAGGCAGAAAATACAGGGTTAATTCGGGGGAAGGGTAACAGGGGGAGAATATCACACTATACAAGTCCAAATGGAAGGCAAGTGCAAAATAATGAAAAACGTTTAGGCCAAGATTGCAGGGCAAGCTAATAAAGTTTAACTAAAGTGGCCATGCATATCCAGAAACAGTTTGGAGAAAAACTGAATGTCTAGCATTAAAAATCTAACTAAAGTGACCATAGCAATATTAATAAAAACAGTTGGAGCAAACTGAAAGTCAGGTAATAAAGTTTAATTAAAGTGACCATTGCAATATCCAGAAAACCAGTTTGGATTAAAACTGAATGTCTAGCATAAGGTGTCTAACTACAGTGACCATAGCAATATTAATAAAAAAAAAACAGTTTGGCACAAAACTGAATGTTAAGCAATAAATGATTAACAAATGACAATTGCAATATCAATAAAACAGTTTGGAGCAAAATACTCTGACCTGTGCCTTGGCTGGTAAGCAGCAAAGAAAGAGGAAGTCATGTGTCTGTCAGGGCTTTATATATGGATGTGATGCCTGTTACTGATTGGTTTAAAGTTTATTTCTGATTGACTTGTGCTGCTGGAGGCATAAAGTAAAGAAAGTTATGCAAAATATGAAGCATACTGTCATGTGCTAAAATTATATCTACTTTAGTATGCTTTCTATTGTGTTGCATTTCTAACTCAAAGAAAAACAGAATGCAAAATGCATGTAATTTAAAAGATTAAAATTGTGCCAGAGAAAGATCTTTACAATCTCCACCAACTGGGGTATTTTTGTAATCTCTACCACAATTGATCTTCTTAATCTCTATCACAGGAAAATATTTGTAATCTTTACTGCAGGATGGTCTTTGTAATCACCAGAAGATCTTCTAAACCTCTAACACAGTGGGCTATGATAAATAGCCACTACATGACGATATGTGTTATGTCCAAACAGAAAAAAACTTTTAATCTTCACCATAGGATAAGCTTTACTAATATTTACCACAGTGATGTCTTTGGAAACTGTACCGGTAGGAAGATCTTTGAGATCAATCACATGGAAATCTTTGTAATTTTCACCAAAGGGAGATTTTTTAAATATATAACACATAGAAATCTTGATAATTAACCATGACTGTAGATCTTTGCAATCTCCTCAAAAGGGAGATATTTGTAATTTCGACCACAAGGGGATCTATGCTTACTGAAACCATGTGTATGTGCTTCAAGTAGATGTCTTAACCAGTGGTAGTTTATGAAAATTTTATTGGGTTGAAGAATGTGGAAGTATTTACAGCATGATGTATATCTGTCCTCTAAAACACTGCCCCTCAACCCTCTCCTCATGGCACACCTAACAGTCCAGGATTTAGTGATTACCGGGTATGTCTGAGGTGTTTAGAAAAAAGAAAAACACTAACACCTTAGAGTCTAAGTTTTTTGTTTTTTTTAAACACCTAAAATACACCCCTTGAGTTTTCATTTTATATGTGTGTTTTGACTATTGATTAAAGATTTATCAGTTTTATGTTCAGTAACCTCTAAGAATGAGATGATACTTCGTTGGTGACAAAAAAATTATTTGAAGCCAACCCTCTAGATGGGGTTTTGTCTTCATTAGTCTTCATGGTTAAATGGTGAACCAAGCCTGCTTGTTTGAATTGAGTGCTATAGCTGATAGAAAGAGTCAGCTCCAATAAATCTTTATTTAAATGGCCAACTGAGTGGTATATAAAGAGAGGTGTCAAATTATTGAGAAGATTTAGGAGATAGCAAATATCCAGTTTAATGCACACAGTGATGTCAATGTGATTCCCAGATGATGAATTAAACCACATTAAAAAAGCAAATACATCATATCAAGTTGACGATGTGCTGCATCAAATTATATTACTTGAAAGGCTTCCAATTACCTCGCAAATAATTATTTAAGTGAAAGCAGCATGTTCCACCTGCAACAGAGTGAAAAGTGGCCTCAACAAACAAGACTGTGGACATTAGAATAAATAAATAACAGCCAAGAAAATTTGGCAGAAGGATTATTTGGCTCCACTGTAAAGGAATGAAGGATTGATCTGCTACATTTTGATGGTGGAAATATTTTCCATAGTATTGCATTTTATTCTAGAAGCTTATGAATCCAACAATGCATAGACAATGATTATCCTACCTATAGGGTAAAAATAAAAGAAACAACATCTCAGAACATTTTTTCAGATGGATTACATAGACCCACTACAAAAAGAATGAAGTGGTTTTATCAAATAATGTACCATATATTTCTCACAATATTGAGTTCTATCCTATTTGTTTGAGAATCAAACATACAAGACACATACAGTGACAACACAAGCATTGACAATGCATCACTTCAAACGATATTACTTCTGTAGAAGACTGACAAGATACATACTGATAAAGGGTGATACCAGGGTTGTAACTGGAGAGTCCCACTTCCCAGGGGATCACAAGGGCAAATCCTACAGAGAAACATTTCAATTATGATAAAATATTCTTGTATAGCAAACGTTGGCTGAGCGTACCAGCTCCAAGTTCTGGCTATAGCTTTGATTTAATTGTTTTGGGTTAACGTTTGAAAAGATCACAAACGTTTTCCAATGATTTGTGTACAAAAATCCCAATAGACTTTAATAGTGACCCTGGATCTATAGTGCACAAAATTGTATTTTACAAAGGTTGAACTTGACGGATACAAGTTTTTTTCAACCTATGTAACTACCTATATGAATACGCTGGTTTTGTTCTTGACAAAATTCTAAGCGTAAAAGTGTTTTATTTTGTTCATCTGGGTGATTTATAACCATATATCAGAGTTCAAAATTCAGATTATGTCATCCAGTAAAAGTAGTCATCTTGAGCCCAATAGAGATTCAATGCTTCCAGCAAGGCTTAAAAGTTACTCATCACTGCAAGCCTGATGGGAAATGGTACATTCGACAAGGATGCATTTCTACTCATCAGGACTAAATTTTCAGTCACAAGTGGATAGTGTCACTTTTTGTCTACATATATTTCTTTCCTATCTCTTTTGTACACTAGAGCCAGGAGCCATACAGCTGGTTAGTGATGCACAGATTACAAATTAGTGTCCTATAGCAGAGACTATAATTTTGTAGTATTCTCTGTAGATGATTTTGGTAAGAATAGTTGACAGATTCCATTAGGTAACATGAGGCAAATCAGGCAACACCATTTGCCTGAAGCAATTTAAACAAAAATAATATTGCCTGTGCATCATTTAAAAAAATTGTAAAGATGAATGAACTTGAAAAAAATAAAAAAATAAAAGTTGATGACATTCATACACTTTGCACAGCTCCCAGATTTTGCAGCTACTGTTGTGGTTTGTGTCCAAACTGGGAAGGTACTGACACTCCATCAGCCAATTCTAGCTCACACATGTAATTTAAAAATCTGGCCAGCATGTGTTTGAGTGATATGTAGTACAGTACTAGCAGCAATTCCTTCCAGGGAAATGCATGAATGAAAATGCAAACTCCATCATCAGCTGCTATCTGCTTCGAATAGCTTTAGTTATTTATTTATTTTCTTATGAATGGAGATCTGAACTCTACCTTTTCCTACATCCAAAGCCATGAAGTGGGCTATTACAGGCTGTTGGAAATAGTATGGGGCGTGCTTGGGGAAATCATAGCTTCTCCATATGGCAAATGTTAGTAAAACACGTACACCCATACTTACAAACTTGTACACAGTGACAACATACCTGCCAATCTTGCCTACCCACATTCCAGGAGGTGGGCAGGCAAGAGAGCATCCTACTCAGGGAAGACTGTATGAAGTGCAGGAGGACCTGGCCCTTTAATGGGAGCACCTGCCTATCAAAGTGCAGGTGCTCCCATTAAAGGGCCAGGTCCTCCTATAAAAGGATCAGGTCAGCTCATTAAAGGGGCTGGTCAGCCCCTAAAGAGAGTGGCAGATTAAAGGCAGATTGTTGAAGTATCTCGTGCATGGTCCTAGTGCCCAGGCTCTTCCTGCATTTTAAAATCTGCCAGATCTGAAAATTGGAGACAGGACCCCAGGACATAGTTTTGCAGGGACAGTACCCCACAATGTGGGATTGTCCTGGAAAAATCGGAAATGTTAGCACCAATGTGACAAATGCCTACATCTACATCCACATATACACAGATTCATACATAGGCCCAAACAAGGATACATACACCTACATGCAAACAGACACATTTAACCATGCAGAGATACAAATTTATATTTGCAACATGGCTAAAGGCATTCATTAATTCATCAGCTGTTGCCAGTAAGACAAAAATGCCCCTTTCATGGGACAGAATTTGCCCTAGTGCTGCCACTGTGAAGGATCCAAGGAATGGTGTACGAACCTTTGGCGTCTTATTGCTGTGAGAGATTTCAAGTTGTCCTGAACCAGCATTTTCATGACTATTGCATTTATAGTTTAAAAATAACATTTACTGAACTAAAACTCTACAATAAACATGAAAGATACAAATAAAGCAACTGGCTGGAATACATACTTGTATTTATAGCATAACAACAGATTAACATAGTTACCTCTCATCCATTGTTACAAAATGGCAGTGGTGGGGGAGTGGAGGGGGCGGGCAGTCCTTACCTCTTCCTGCCTAGAGCCATTTTGCTAAAGAGCACTATTTGTGTACAGACTGATGGTAGTGATACAAAGTTCTCATGGATCTATGAGTACATACAGTAATGGATTATAAAATATTGTTGTGTAGCGTACCAGCTAAAAGAACATTCAGAGCACATTTTTTTTAAAGCAATTCCATTTTAATTTAAAATATGAGTTATGATTTGGTAAAAAATGTTGAAAGTCTAAAGAATAATTTTCTTTCAACAATCCATTTTTCATGCATAAATAAAGCCTATGTCATTACTACTTGCAAAGGTTATTTCTGACAGGAAAATAATGTTATCCATTCCAATCTAACTTTAGAGCTGGGACTCTGAAATACTCAAATTCTATGTCTTTTGCCCAATTATTTTCCTAAAAGCAGAAGAGACTAGAAACTAATTTGACTCTACAACTGCATGCACGACACATAAATAAAGCAGAGAAAGTAAATAAGGGACTGTCAGCTAGATTTACTACATGGAACATTTCAAGACTCTCTGTGAGCACTATTTAAATGAACATAATGTTGATAAATCAGGTAACCAGCTACGGTATTGCATATTCTGTTGTTACCTTGTTATGTTTGTTCAAGAAAAATGTGTGTGCTTAACTCAGTGTACACTTTAAAATAGTTTTCAGTTCAAATCCTGCACTCATTTACATTTCCTTTCATTCTGTGGTCCCTGCACTTTACATGGAATGGAGAAGACTCTGGAGTACC